TGTGTGTGTGTGTGTGTATCAACGAGTCAGCCAGCCAGGACATACTTCTAGAGGTGTAGTTAATAAACAGCATGCTCAATCTCACCATTGATTTCTTGATTTTTTTTCCCATGGCCTTCCCTGAGTTATCCAGCTCACAGCATAGTCTTGTGTCCTGTAACTCTGGTCACTCAGGTACCGTTTACCATCTCAACGCCACCTCTTGGAAGTACTGATCTACACCCCCTTTTCTCAGATCTGACCATTGTATTTCTTTAACCAGATTGTGAGCTCCTTGAGAGCAGTCACTGTGTGGGGGATGGCTTCTTTGTTCCTCATAATGTCCAGGACAGAGATCCATAAATACACCATGTGCTTGGCTTGCCAACCTCACTATTAAGAGAAAAAAGCAACTTCCTTCATTTGTCTTGTATTTACCTGAAAGTGAGACTTCTGTTCACCTCCTGAAATTGTATCTGGCTTCTCAATACAAATATTGTTGATCTTTGGGCTATCCCTTGATCTGAGGCAGCCACCAGCCTTCGTCAGAAACTATGAATGGCCTTAGAATAGGATTATGTGACTGCTTCTGTTCACTTCTTGGCAAATTCAGTCAGCTATGAAGGTGAGGAGAAGTCTGCAGAAATCCAGCTTTACGGCTTATTTCACTTAGCATAGTATCCTCAAGGTTCATCCATGTTGTAGCATGTGTCAGGATTTACCTCCTTTATAAAGTTGAATATATATGTATTATACTTTTAATGTATGTTTCATGTTCTGTTTCCCTCACCACCGCTCCACAGTTTCAAACAGATAGTTTTACCTTTTGTTATTTGTCGTTATCTCAGGGATTTTTGCAGGACTAAAAGAAGAACCAGTTGAAAATAATTATGTCTGCATTTTTTTTAAAAAAGATAGACTGGATAAAGAAAATGTAGCACATATACACCCTGGAATACTATGTAGCCATGAAAAAGAATGAGTTCATGTCCTTTGCAGGGACATGAATGAAGCTGGAAACCATCATTCCCAGCAAACTAACACAGGAACAGAAAAGCAAACACTGCATGTTCTCACTCATAAGTGGGAGTTGAACAATGAAAACACATGGACACAGAGAGGGGAACATCATACACCGTGGCCTGTCAAGGGGTGGGGGGCTAGGGGAGGGATAGCATTAGGAGAAATACTTAATGTAGGTGACAGGTTGATGGGTGCAGCAAACCAGCATGGCACGTGAATACCTATGTAACAAACCTGCACATTCTGCACATGTACCCCAGAACTTAAAGTATAATAATAAAAAAAATCTAAGCCAAAAAAAAAAAAGAAATCCAGCCTTAATTCTATGTCATAGGGAGGTACAAGCAGAATAATTCTCTCACCTACAAAGCTACTTACTGCCCAGAGATTGAACATTACTTCTGATTTGTGAGGGGAGAGAGAAGACTGAGTCCGTGATGCATATGGTATCTTATAAATGCTGACTTTTTTTTCTTTTGCCATTTGAGCTAAATTTTAAACTGATTTTCTAGCAAGAATATTGAAAGCAGTTTCTTATGAAACAGTTCAGTTTTCTTAGGAAGTTTGCAGAAAACCCTAGGACATGTGATGCTGTTATCTTTTGGGAAATCGTACTAAGTCATAAGAATTATCTAAGGAATCCATAAATGTGATGTTATTCAGAACATGAACATTGTTCATATTTAAATTTGGTCTTCAAATTACAATGCTCAATAATGTAGACGAAAATATAAAAGGAGCAGTAGTGGAGGTGGAATTAGGAAGTGGATTGGAAGCCATTGTCAGATGCTGTGCCCAGGGACATCCTCTCAATATGCACCACCTCCAACCAGCTGGCCCCAATTTTGCTCAGCTCCTTCCTTAGCAAGGTAACACAGCAGTGCGGTCCCTAAATGACTCAATGGAGGAACAAAATTGACAAAAGAAACTTATACTTTCTTTAGTGTTCCCTAGTATCACTTCTTGACTATTTTCCAGTTATTTCTTTGGACTCCATTTCTTCAGAATATTAATGTTTAAATTGAAATTCTCTAGGCTGGGTATATCCGTTAGCTATCAGTATGAAACCAATCAAGTATTAACTCACTATGCTGTGGCCAGATGGGTGACTCCTCTGGTCTTGACTGGGCTTGCTCATGCATTTTTGGTCAGCTGTGGGTTAGGCAGGTGACTGCTGACATTGGCGGGGGTTTCTCAAGTATTGGGGGTCAGCTGGCTGTTGGGAGGCCTAGGAGGGCCTTGGGTCTTCTCTAAATCCAGTGAATCCAGCTTGCTTACATTGCAGTGGCGGTGCTCCAGGAGAGAGAGCGGCAGCATGCCAGGTCTCCCGCAGCTTAGGCCCAGGAATGGGAGCACAGTTTCTACACATTCTGTTGGCTACGGGAAGCCACGTGGCCATCCCAGATTCAAAGGATGGGCTGAAATACTCTACTTCTTGAGGGGAGGAGCCACAGATCACATTGCGCAAGCCATCCATACAAGGGATAAAAAATTGGGGACTTGGTTTTTGTTTGCAGTTTATCACACTGGAAGAATTTTATACATATACTCAGGTACAAACAAAAAGCTTGTTTTAGCTGCTGGAATGTATTCTAGAAGCAATGATCAGAGTGACAAGACAAGGGGTCAGAAGGTAAACGATGATGCTTTCCCTGCACTCTAATTTTAGGCATCTCAGGGTTCAACCTTGGTTATTTTGCTATTGTTATTCTCTCCCTTCTTATTTGGCCACATTTTCAAAGAACTAGGATTTTCAGACGCCTGAGATCACTTAAGATACAGATTTAAGTCCTGTGTGTTTGGAATCTTTGTACTGAGGAACTGAGTACTTTTGACTGTAATAGTTATTTTTCTAAAATGTTCATACTCACTATTTCTTTGTGGCATTTGAGAAAGTCCTGCCTTCTAATTTAGGATCATTAAATTAAAAAAAAATTGAAGCGCTCTTCCCCACCCCTCTCCCGAAATTATTTTCTGGCAATATTTGTGGAGCTAGAACGTCCACCTCCTGTGAAAGTCTTGAGACTCCAGACCTGGAGCTGCCAGTTCAGGAGCAGGGGTGGATAAGGTCTGCGTGAACTGGCGGACATCACCTGGGCGGCAGTAGGAAGTGGTGTTGGGTCCTGTGGTAGACCAGCCATTCTTTACATTTACATTTGCTACCTGTTAACACCAGCTGGGGAGGTTTTTGTTTTTGTTTTTCCAGTCTGCATTCTAGACTAATTAAAACAAAATTCCTGGAAGCAGAATTCAGGTATTAGTATTTTATTTTATTTTTTAAGTTTCTTAGGCAGTTTCAATATGCAGCCAAATTTAGGAACAAGTGAATTAAGCCAGGATTTCTCAGTTTTTAATGTGCAGACAAATGACTTGGGGGCCTTGTGAAAAGACAGATTCTGACTCATCCTGTCTGTGGTAGGCCTGAGATTCTGCATTTTAAGTAAGTTCCTGAGTGCTGCTGATGCTGCTGGTCCTCAGTCCACAGTGTGACTAACAGGATGGAAAGCAGAGATTGCAAGCAGCCTGCAAACATTTTTGCGGTGGGGAGGGGGCTGGTCTACTGCGTTTTTAAACATAATTTGAATCGACAATTCAAAATTAAGAGATTTCTCATAAAAATCATCATTTCTGGTTTCTCTTGAAAAAATGAAACCACCTACAATCCCCAGCTCTGCCTTTCCACACAGACGTGCTAAAGAGTGACTGCCCCACAGGAGGGGGTGCGGGTGACTCACCAGGGCAGGCTCTGAAATGCCTTTCCCTGCATTTGTTTATGAATAGGATGAAACTGTCTTTCATTTTTTCCATATGGACTGGCAAGTCGACTTACAATGCACAAGTGTACATGTGCGTCCACAGCAAAACCACAAAGGCAAAACACCAGATGTTAAAGTGCAAGAGGCAAAAGGAGAAGGGAAAGAATAACGAGTCTTTAAAAGTTAGATATGTGTATCAGTAAGGAAGCTTCTGGTCATATCAGAAGCTTGCTTGAGCTGTTTTAAGGAAAAAAATAAGTGAGGGAGAGGCGGGGCGCTGTGGCTTATGCCTGTAATACCAGCACTTTGGGAGGCTGAGGCGGGTGGATCACTTAAGGTCAGGAGTTCGAGACCAGCCTGGCCAACCTGGTGAAACCCTGTCTCCACTAAAATTACAAAAAATTGGCCAGGCATGGTGGGGCATGCCTGTAGTCCCAACTACCCAAGAGGCTGAGGCAGGAGAATGGCTTGAACCTGGCAGGTGGAGGCTACCGTGAGCTGAGATGGCACCATTGCAATCCAACTCCAATCTGGGTGACAGAGTGAGACCCTGTCTCAAAAACCAAAAACAAAATAAGTGAGGGAGAGTTGTAAGCATAGAAGGGTACTCATGTACCCGTGATGCAGGAAGGCTTTCTGGGAAGAATGGAACCAGGGAAGGGCCTGGCTGTCAGCAAGAGGGACCCTTGCTTTGCTTTCATGTCACCCCTCTCTGCCCATCCTCCTCCTCCTGTGCCTCTGCTTCCTTTGTTCTCCAGTCCATACAGTAGTAAACACAGCCACCAGCAGGACCTGTGTTTACATACCAGGGGTCTTGCTATGCATTCCCAATCCATACTCCCGAGGAAGAGATTCTAATGGCTCAGCCTGGTAGAGGGGCTTATGCTCTTGGGGGCATCGCTGTTAACTGGGAGAACTAGAGGGCCGAAGCTTCTGCTATGCTAAGGAAACTTATGGAATTAAGCATAAACATTGAGCCATCCTATGTGGAGAGAACAAATGCTCTGAAATTCTAGAATGGCCCCAGTCCATTCCAGGGGCAGGAAACAGACTACAAGGTGTCTGGACTCCTTTGCTCCTATGGGATCTTTGCCTTTTGAAGGAGAATCTGCTATTTCTCAATAACATTTTTTAAAATAATAATTATTTTTAAATATTTAAGTATTTTTTCCTTGATTATAATAATGTCTGAAGATGCAGCAAGACCAGCAGTGCTTCACTGATTTTTTTCCTTTCCAAAAGACAGTACAAAGCATGATAATCACATGAAGGCATCAGCTCCTGACAGCCCGCTACAGGCCGGCTTTCACGTTGTGGGTGGCATTAGGTAGATAGCCCACAGAGACAATGGATCTGAGGTCAGGAGAACACAGCCAAGGCTACACAAAACAGAGAAGATTCTGCTGACTTTCAAAAGGTAGGAAACTGGGTTAAATGTGAAAATGGGAAGAGAGAAGAGGAAGATATTCATAAGCCAGGTTATTGAAAAAGAATGGTTCATAAGAGTGTGCACTTACTCCTCTATAATGAGGTCTGGGATTATCTGTAAAAACATTTAGCTCTGATTGTTTTAAAGAGAAGAGATAAAATGTTTAATATGTGGCACCCTGGTGTGTGCCTTTTTGAGTGTGTATTTTAAATGATCATCCTAACAAAACACCTTTAATGCACAATGGATCAAATTATACAGCTTCCCATCAGAGAGTGCAAGTGAGAACAAAGCCACAGATGTTGCACATTCAGGCGATGAGGTGAGAGCAGATTTGAGGATAAGAGGAACTGAAGTGCCTCACATAAGCCTGTATGAATGCTCCCATCTGGTCCTAGGACTCAACTATCTGATGTTGACAAAGATGCTTCATAATACATAAGGCCAAATGCTAAGTCTAATAATTAAACATATTCCCTAGGGCTCTTCCTTGAGATCTGAGAAAATGTGATTATACTAAAAATTATATCATATATAGGAGGAAATGGCTAAGTAACTCACCCCACTTGTCCTGGGGTGTGATCTTCAGTTAAACTCGTCAGAGATCCTAAATGTTATGTTTGGTCTTTCTCTGGATCTATTAAATCTATAGGTGCTGGCAATTCTCCCCGGAAAATGAAAAATGGCCCATTCTTCCAGATACTCTCAAGTGTGATTGTTAAAAGGCCTGGCGGATTCACACAGAGACAGACAAGGAAACTTCTGGGCTCCTTTCTCTCACCCCTCCCTTCCTCTCTCTTACTGTGAAATCAGTCTGTTGGAACAATGCTTTAAAATACATCTGAGTGGTATCAGAGCAAGTATTCATTTGTACTGAGGCATGGCTTTTATCTGTAAGGAAGGCTATTTGAAAAACCAGGCCTTGCTTGGTGAGGGCTCTGAGGTGAGAGCAAAAAAAGGACCAGCTACCTTTTATCACCTGGGCTGGCTTGGCTGGCTCGGCTGGCTCCTTTCCCAGAGCCCATGCATGAGGCACTCTGCTGTATTTACCCTCAACTCCCGTTCCAACGGGTGGAGCTGGCCTCTACTTAGGATGACTGAACTAACATTTGCATTAAACACTTTCCAGCTGCTCCTCCAATTTCTGCCTTCACTCCTGGAGATAGATTTTCTTTTCCTTCCTTTCCTTCCTTCCTTCCTTTCCTCTCCCTCTCTCTTTCTCTCTTTCTTTCTTTCATTGAGTCTCACTCTATTGCCCATGCCAGAGTGCAATGGTGTGATCTTGGGCCTCTGCAACCTCCACCTCCCAGGTTCAAGCAATTCTCTTACCTCAGCCTCCAGAGTAGCTGGGATTACAGGTGTCACCACACCCAGCTAATTTTTGTATTTTTAGTAGATACAGGGTTTCGCCATGTTAGCCAGGCTGGTCTCAAACTCCTGACCTCAGGTGATCTGCCCACCTCAGCTTCCCAAAGTGCTTGGATTACGGGTATGGGCCACCCCCCTACCTCCCCAGGCCCACTCCTGGAGATTTCTGAATCTGTCAAGGAAGAGAAAAACCTCCACCTTTTCCAGACTGGAAATAGGTCTTTCCACCCTTCTACAGAAATCAAGGGATAGAGAGACAATTTGAATTGTGATCTCTCTTCATTAACGCCTTCTTCAATTGTTCATAAACTTCAGGATTCTTTTGATTTTTGAAGTAGTGAAGGCTTTAAAAATGGATATAAAATTTTAAAAAAGGATCTAAAAATATTCTTTTTATGCAAACGTTGGTGTATATCACCCACATGCTCCATCTGAAGAAAATAGTTAAGAAATCACTAACCCACCCCCCCTCCACAAAGAATACAGAACTCAAGTTGCGGGAAATCAGAAAAATGAGGCGAATAACAAAATCCCTATGGTTGGATGTGGAGAGGCTGCTGTCATGAAACATAAGCAAGCAAAGGCAAAAATCCTTGAAATAGAAGGGATGTGGGAGATTCTAGTAAGTATTCAGCAAATTTATGAACTGGGAGGTGGGGACACAGGTGAAGCCAAAAGTTTCCAAAGTCTTAAAGTGCTAGAAACTCCGAAGTAGTGTATGAAGAGGAGAGAAGATGAATAAGCGTAGCAAAGATGCCACTTCACTGTGGCCACACAGAAATCATGTGTGCCATGGGGCTGCTAAAATAGCCCTATTAAAATTAACATGGGTTTTAGGGGAAAAAGCACTAACAACACAAAAAGCCACTGATAAAGGCTACAATTTGTGGATAAGTCAAATCTGTGTGCACCAAAAACAATAGCAGCTAAATATGTAAAGCAAGGGAGAATTGATACAAATGTAATTAAATGGGCTTCTCAAGGACCTTCTCTCAAAAGTACAAAGATGTCTTTTAAAAAAGAAACTCAACTGGGCGCAGTGGCTCATTCCAGTAATGCCAGCACTTTGGGAGGCTGAGGTGGGTGGATCACTTGAGGTCAGGAGTTTGAGACCAGCCTAGCCAACATGATGAAACGCCATCTCTACGAAAAATATAAAAATGAGCCAGGTGTGGTGGCGCATGCCTGTAGTCCCAGCTACTGGGGAGACTGAGGCAGGAGAATCGCTTGAACCCGGCAGGTGGAGGTCACAGTAGGCCAAGATTGTGCCACTACACTCCAGCCTGGGCAACTGAGTGAGAGTCTGTCTCATAGATAAATAAATAAACTCTAATTTTAGCATAGTTTTAGATAAAAGAACAATTGCAAAGATAGTACATAGACCCCATAGGCAGTTCCTGCTATTGTTAACATCTTAACAATAGGATGGTATATTTATTGTGATAAATGAGCCAATGTTGATAGATTATTATTAAGTAAATATTTACTTTATTCACATTTCCTTACTTTTTCTATTGCACGATCCCATCAGGATTTCACAATCCCACATCATATTAAGTCATCAGGTCTCCTCAGTCTCCTCTTAACTGTGACTGTTTCTCAGACTTTCCTTGTTTTTGGTGACCTTGACAGTTGTTGATTTTTTGGTGATAGCTTTATTGAGATATAATTCACATGCCATGCAATTCATCCATTTGAAGTGTACAGTTCAATGTTTTTTAGTATTCACGGAGTTGTGAAACAATCATCACAATCAATTTAAAAACGCTTAAATCACCCTAGAAAGAAACCATGTACCCTTTATCACCCTCCACTCACCTCATCCCCTCAGCTTTGGCAACAACTAATTTACTTTCCATCTCTATAGGTTTGCCTAAATTGGATATTTTAAATACATAAAATAAATAATATGATATGTGGCCTTTTGTAACTGGATTTTTTTCACTTAGCATAATGGTTTCAAGACGCATTCATAAAACAGCAGGTATCATAGTTCAATCCTTTTGATGGCCAAATAAGTTTCTAATGTATATATATATATATATTATATTTTGTTTATCCATTCATCAGTTGATAGACATTTGCATGATTTTCACATTTTGATTATTAGGAATAATCAGGCTCGTTTCTTTCAACAATGTTGTCTAGCTTTTAGTGTACAAATCTTACATTTCTTTTGTTTGATTTATTTCTAAGTACCTTATTCTTTTTTATGCTATTGTAAATGGAATTGCTTTTCTTAATTTCATTTTCAAATTTCTCATTGAAAGAGCATAGGCCAGGCATGGTGGCTCCCACCTGTAATCCCAGAACTTTGGGAGACCCAGGTGGGTGGATCACCTGAGGTCAGGAGTTTGATACCAGCCTGGCCAACATGGCAAAATCCCATCTCTACTGAAAAACAAAATAATTAGCCAGGCATGGTGGCGCATGCCTGTAATCTCAGCTGCTTGGGAGGCTGAGACAGGAGAATTGCTTGAACCCAGGAGGTGGAGGTTGCAGCAAGCTGCACTTCAGCC